TGCAGGGGAGCTGGTCCGGGCAGTTGTGGCAGCTGAATGACCGGCGGGAGCTGCGGGAGTAACCCTGTCATACGATCCGCGATACGATTATCCATCATTTGGGGTATCGCATTGAAGACTTCGGTTACTGTCCTCATTAGGTCCTGCACAGCTCGTTCCAGCTCTGTCAGTCGTTCCTCCCTGCTCTCCTGTCGCCTCGCTCCCTCTCGGCTGGTTATGAGTCCACTCGGCCTTTCAGTTGGTCAAAAGTCGTCTTCGTCTCAGTAGCTCTCCAGAGGGCAACTCTGTGGTCTTTCCGGGTATAATCCTTGATCAAACAGGCTCTCACGGAGCCCACTGCCACGGTGAGAAAACGTCTCTTTCGTGCCCTGGGTGTCGAACATAGTCCAATCATCCACAACCCGTACCTCCCGTCTGCCCCAGTGCGATGGGGTCGGAGGAGGCCACGGGATGGTTTCGTGTCGAGGGATCGCTCCCCCAACAGCCCCGCTGCCGCTGACCGAGACCGATGTTGAGGCGGTAACCGGGATGTCCCCCCGATCACCCGCCTGGGATGGTGGTTTCCCTTCTGCCCCGCTCATGACTTCCGTCAGATTCGAGGTGAGGGGGAAAATGAGATTCCAATCAAAATGTTAGATCCCCAAGCATGAGAATAGATCCACGTTCAAAAGTAAAGCAAGATTTATTTCAAAGACATGGTTGATCACGAACACACAGGAATTGATTGGAATGACGTTTGTCAGCAGTACAGATATAATAAAGGGATTTTGAACAAGGTTTGGACCAATGGTCCTACTTCCCGCTGGAAACGGGGAGATTAGAAAGGGCGCGAAGTTACATGAGAAAGTAACGCCCGGTTTCCTAAACACAAGTTCCTTTCACACGGGTAAAGCTAAACAAGCATGAGCGCGAAGACATAACTCCCACTTCTCACCAGCTGGCGACCTTGGTTAAAGCAATTGCCTAACAGAGAAAACACTTCAACAACACAAGGGGGGGGGGGAAGGAAGGGACGTGAAACGACCCAGCAAAGAGATGGCAGCTCGCTGACAGTGGATCTGGTGGTGATTTCCAGTGATGGAAGGGATCTCTCACTTCTCCTGTCTCACTGCAGCTCGAAATACTCTCTGAAATGCTGCCCCTGGGAGCCAAGGGAATCCCAGAATTAGAAGGAGGAGAAAGATGGAGCTCTGCAGTAAAGCGGAAATATTTAGCAGAAATATTTTTGCAAGATCTGCTCCACAGAAGAGGAGCTTGTCCAAGCTATTTATGGACACCCCAGGATATTCAGCTATGTGTGAAAGATTATTTAGGATTATTTTACTTAGCATTATCCCATCTTTCCAGCCATTCATTATGGCTTAGAAATACGACTTCTAAATGTTAAAGAAATTACAAGGGGGGGAACCACTTCTCCATACTGTCTTTTTACCTGTGTTTTCTCCCATTTGCTGTTGTGTCCTTCATCCCTTGCTGGCCCCGTCCCCCCATTTTGTAGCTGTTGTATCCTCCCTGTATCCTCTCTTCCCCCTCCCAGCATTCTCTTCCCCATTCCTCTCATAGCCTCCAAGTTCTTTTTCCCTTGAATCCTCTGTCCATTTGTCCTCATAGCCTACACGTCTTCTCCCCAACTCTGTTCCCCATTCCTTCTTTTGAAAGTAAAAAAAAACACCATTCAGACACCATTTATATGCTATAATGAGACATTTAAATATCTCTCTAATATTATATTTTCCATGCAATATATAATATTTTACATTTTTAACCTCCTTTTTTAGCTTTCTGATTTTTCTGCAAATGTTGTAGGTCTTTTAACCTGCACTATGGGACCACTTTGAAATTAGATGATGGAGCATATATTTTGTTGTGGTTAGAGAGTCAGGCTTAAACCAGGAAGGGACAGGTTGAAGTCCCTAGCTGGACATGAAGATTCTTGGGAGACAGTAAGTTAGACGAATAGTGACTTTTCCAACTCAGAGAGACTCTGTGTCTTGCTCTGAGCATCTTGGGAAAAAGTTGATATGAGTGTGAAGTGTAGAATCAATTTGAATACATCAAAAATGACTTAATGGCATGTAAAATTTTCCTCATACTGTGTTTTAGGCCACTGATGATTGTAACCCAGAAGATCACGACTCTTGCCTTCCAGGTGCATGATGGTAAGGAAGACGACCTTTCTGTTCTCCATCCTGTTGTCTTCTGTAAAGCTCTACAAATAGATAGCTGCTGGCATCTTTTGGCAAAGTAACTGTGCTTCATTGGCCAACTTCTGAAGTCATCCTGTGACATTTAGGGTTTTATCTGTTCTTCTCTTTCAGTTAAAAAAATTACATTGAGCTGAAGTTCATACAGGTCTCTTCAACACTTTTTGCTCTGCTGTATTAGAAGAGTGTTGAGAGACCATAGTAACTAATTCTCCTAACTGTTCAATTTGTGGTCTAGTGTATAGTGTACGTTGGAGATTCTCAACCTCCTTGAGCCAGTGGGCGCTTTTGGAATTTAGAGAATGGGGAATGGGGGGGGGGATCTCAAAAAGGCCCTCATGGCATACTGAGGCTTATTACAAAATGTTAGCACGTTACAAATCAAACATCCTCCTATGATGATGGCAGCTGTTTCTGAATGGGTTACTTCCTGCAGACACAGCAGTGATTCCTTCTAGATTCTTCTGAAACACCTCCTGCCACAGTGAGGTGAAGGGAGACCAGGACCAGTGTTCCCTCTAAGCTGAGTTAGTGTGAGCTAGCTCACACTTTTTTAGCCTCCAGCTCACACATTTTTATCTTAGCTCAGGGAGGATGGTTCCAGAACAAACTAATTTATGATGTAGCCCAATTGCTCGCTCACAACTTTAATGCCAGTAGCTCACAAAGTAGACTTTTTGCTCACAAGACTCCACACCTTAGAGGGAACATTGGTGTGGGAAAGAAGCAAATAAATAAATAAATAATAATAATAATAGTAATAATAATAATAATAATGCTATCGATTTATTGATCGCTCTTTCCCACATACCTGCGGACTCAGAGCGATTTACGGTTACTCTTGAGACAGTTGGACTAACAATATTTGTGGGGATAGGGAAGACAAACATACAGCATTAATTACACACACATTGCAGCTAGCCGGGCCAAGAAAACCATCAGCAGCCATCATAGTGTCCATAAGCACCACACTGGGGATCATTGGTCTATGCTATCATGAGTCTCATGTTTACCTCCTTTTCCTGATAGACGAGCTAGATGTGACAGGGAAGCCACATGTATTTATTCCCCAGTCTTCCCCATTCATACACAATGGATCTGAAACTTTCTTTTTTTTACATGAATGCAAGCACACAGGCAAGGGTGAGCTAACTTCCCCTCTTCCCTGCCTTAACCACAGTAAACTAAGTAACTTGAATTGTTGTCATCCAGCTAATGTTTATAGAAGAATAAACAACACATCATAATCCTTGTTCTCTTGGAAGAAAAATTGACCAAGTGGAGGCACTCTTCCACTTGCAAAAGGCACCTTTTATTTAAAGTGTATTTTATAGGGGGGGGGTGTTAACTGGGGAAGAATATACCGTTGGAATTAAAAGAACTTGAAAATGGTTTAGTTTGAGTCTTTTCTTCAATCAAAGCTCATTCAAAGGCAATTGCAGGGGTGGGAGGTGATAAGGGTAGAAATGTAGTTAAAATAAGATATCATTCACAATGCCCATTAGAGTGGCTGTTTGCAAGTAACTAAAAATTTGTCCCAATTTTGATGTTGTAGCCCTTGAATGGATTTTGCATAGGGTGACTGACAGACTTTCAGTTGAAAGGGTGTTTCCGTTAAATCAATTTAAATCTGATTCCCAACCCGTCATATATGTGTGTGTGTGTACACACACACACACACACACACACACATATATATATATACACACACATACACACACATACACTAGGGGAAATGCTAGTTGCGGGAGAAGGCAACGGGCCCTAGGGAGAGCTGTCGGCTTGGGGCAAGGAGCGAACAACGGCT